CCCAAAAAAAAAAAAAAAAAAAAAAAAAACAGGTAACAAACCCTCCATCCATCGATTGCCAATAATCAAACGCAGTCCCATATCTTAAGGTCTGTTTACTTGTCCAAAGGAAAAAGAGAAAATCCCTAGATTACAATCTCCAGAGTTTCACGTCACTCCTGAATGTTTCAGAGCCGAAGAAACGAATCGAAGTAGAAAACGTGAGAGAAGAAAGAAAAAAAAAGAAAAAGATAAAAGCAAGAAGAACAGATCACTCTTAATGCGTCACTCCACTTCCTCAAGCTGACAGCCCGACGGACGTGGTTCGTTTTGTTATTCAAATACTCAGATAGCCACGGTGCGTGATATCTGGAAAGATAACAGCCAGAAGCAGCCAACCGACTAGTTATTTTTGATCCGACCAAAAGTCCCTAGACACTGCATTGCAGTATACATACAATGTACAACTGGATCTACTACGTTTCTGTGCCATTGGATGGACCCAGCATCCGACCAAGTAACACCGAATGCATCTGTATCTACACAGGTAACAATGTTGACTTCTGTTTGAGAATTGGAAAGTTACTAGTCTCTTTTTCTTTCTTTTTTTTCTCTTTTTCCTTCAGCATCCAATGTACGTACATCCTGTTACACGTGGTGGAGACAAGCCACAGGAATGCGAGCCGCACATCCAGCTCTCGCATCTACGTCGTATCTCGTTTTAAGTCACAGTAGAATTTTTCTCAGTGGAGCATCGCGCGGATGTTCAGAAGGCAGAAGCGGCGTCCTCTTTTCCATCCTATCTTCTTCTTCCTCCTCTTCTTCTCTCTTTCTTTTCTCCTTGACAGTGATGGACGCCCTCGCGGTTTGCTTCTCTATCACCGACTGTACGATGGCGGCCGATCGTCCTGCTAACCAGCCAGATTGTGTGCGAGGTACATGTCAGACGTACTAACTGCCCGGTGAACCTGGGTGTGGAGTGATGTTTTATTTAGTATCAACGAATTGAAAATACTTATCATGAATATAATATATTGAAATTCTTATCTCTTACCCGTGGTCAGTCTATTCTCATGATATTCATATTGGCTACTGATAACGTATACGAACTCCTCGGATCTTTCATCTGGTAAATGCTAATCTTACGAGTGGATTTCAACTGACTTAAGGTTAGATACCCGACGGTGGCGACGCCAAGCGTCGGGACGTTGAGACTGTTGACTGTACGTGCCTAGGCATCCATTTCACTTGCTTGACTGGATAAAATCCTATTATCCCCTTTTCTCACTGCTGTTCGTCCAATCTATGCTAAAGGCAGCAAGACTCGAGATGCGGTCCATATACATGAAATTCTTATCTATGAGAAAATCCAAATTTCTTCAAATTATTCTCATCCATTGAAAAGTCCCAACATTTTTTCTCACCGTCAACGGCTCCTCTGGAAACACAAAAAAAAAGTACACGATCAGAATCAAATCACGTATTTTAGGTGTTAAATTATTTTTCTTTGTTTCAGGCAATTTCATTAAAAGGAACGACTGTCACTCCGTGGAAACGGGATATGTCAATTGGCGCTACGTAATTAGATACGTCGAACGACGCGACGTTCCTGGTACCATTACGCACTAGTCCGAAGTAGATACTGAAGACTGTAACGTGTCAGTAGCCATCTTGTAGTTATAGTGGCGATGGACGCAATGGTGGTTAATTGCATTATATCAGGAATCGTGGATCAATTAGCGGAAAGATAGCGGTGGAATAAAGGATGTAAATATATAAGGAAGGAAGATGCAGGATTATATGTGAAAGAGAGAAAAACTAAATATGTATATATATATATATATATATATAACAAGCATATGTAAGAGCACGCTGTATGGCTACTGGTCGTACGCCATTACTAATTAATATGCTCATGTGAAAGAGAGAAAAACTAAATATGTAGGTTAATTGCATTATATCAGGAATCGTGGATCAATTAGCGGAAAGATAGCGGTGGAATAAAGGATGTAAATATATAAGGAAGGAAGATGCAGGATTATATGTGAAAGAGAGAAAAACTAAATATGTATATATATATATATATATATATAACAAGCATATGTAAGAGCACGCTGTATGGCTACTGGTCGTACGCCATTACTAATTAATATGCTCGTACATTAACGTCCAAATGAGTAATTACCCGTTGCGTTAATCGGCGTAGGAAGGAACGAACGTAGAAAGGCCATCGGCCTGATCCTGTCACAGATTAGATAGCCCGAAGCATTCTGTCTTTATTAATATCATCCGATGACAGTGACAGACCCGACGTTCATTTTTAATATTTTTTTCTCATAACTTAATAGATAAGAAATTTTTTTTGTAAATTCTTGACAAAATTTAATCGTAGAATAATTTTTCTTATTTTTCACCTCTACTTATTATCAAGAGCTACGAGAATTCCCTGCGGGAGAAAAATAAGTCCTTGGTAAGAGATCGAAGAACTAGAATGACGAACGATTAACTTTGATATCTAAGGAGAAACTATTATCTGGTTTTTATTCGAGATCAGGAAATCTCGAAGGAGCAAAATGAGGTCTGCGAGAAATTCTATATTTATTTTTTTATTAAACATTAACTTAAGTATATCTACGCTCGCTGGAATTCTTCGGGTCGTATAAATTCACTGGCACGAAAATGATCTATAACGGGGTGGATCATTAATATGGGATGATCGTGATGATACGTGATATTCGTAGCTGTGTAAATAAAGTCTCGGAGATAACTAGCTCATCCCGCGAAAATGAAGCCCGTGTTAATCTACTCGGTATTATTCATGAATTAAACATACGTAAAGCAAGATGGTATCGTGGGAGACTGTTTCACGAGTCATTGTGGATTTAAAGATTTCGTAAAGCCGCGTGATCGATATATAGAAAAAAAGGTTGTCTTGAATAATTCAAATAAAACTTATATTTTATTCTATTAAATATTTCAAATTCGCCTCAGTACCCGCCGAAAATCTTGTTCAACCGTGGCCAGTGCGCTATTCAATTTTCAATACGAAACAAGCGTGACCACGGGGTACCTTGGTGGCTATGCATTCCTTGAGAGGCCTTAAAGAGAGGGCCCAAAGAGCCGCGGAGACTCGAATCGGACTCGGCACGCTAGCCGTCGTAATGACGGACGAGTAGACGTCAAGAAGTACAATACAAACACGCGGAGATTAGGGAGCTATCTAATTACAGCCATATAAATGAGCCGGTAAGGTCCAAGGGGTCTGAACCAGGTCCACGTCTCGTGTTGGTAGCCATATGTATAAGAGTATGGTATGGCATAGCTTCGGGAGTGGCGCTGTTGTTCGGGACGTTATATACGCGTATATATATATATATATATATATATATATATATATATATATATGTATAAAGCATGTAGCAATGTAGAAAGAACGAAAAGAAAGACGCAAAGCGGAGAGAGCAAAAGGGAAAAGGTAGAAATAGAGAAGCAAAGATAAAGAAATGGTTGGTAGGTAGGTAGGGGCATGACGTGGGGCCCCACCGTTCAAATGCGAAGCCCCATCTCACGAGGTGGCGCGCACGGCGTGGGGACGCGACAGCGGACTCTGCTCCTGGACCACCCAAGACGAAATTTACTATAGTTACTTACCATCTTGGATCGTTTCACTTCACAGGTTCGCCAACTGAAAACCGCGAAAAATTTATCGCGATTATTCTAGGCCTTAGTATCACCCTTCTTGACGTAACCCTAAGCCTAATGAACAGCTGCTCTCTCGATTGAAATACGGAACTGAACTAGACGAGCGCCATCTGACGGATTTTTTTAGCATCACTCTGACGGACGGTTTGTCTCGTGTGACCTGATAGATTCCTACATGTATGTGAATATTTGTTGTAAATTAATTAGAATTAGTTCTTCGTGACTGGTGAGTAATTGATTTTGGGACTTGTCTCTATTATGTTTGATTATTCGTGACTGTTACATTGTTTGTTTACCTCTTTTTTTCAGTTTGTTCTCAAACTTTATCGTCGTTCCTTCCGGCGGAAAGTGATTGCAAAATAAAATGCGTTACCGACAACGGGTATATGTGTTTCGTGTACTGTGAAAAAGACAAGACGGAATTGATTCACCCTGTCCACCGCAAGAAGTTGACTTCTTCTCTCTTCCACATCTGATACGGTATAAGAAGTGACGACTAAAGAAGAGTAACAAGAAGAGGCGTAGATCTCTATCTCTTTTTCAACATTCTCTCTCGCTCTCACTCTTTCTCTCTTTCTCTCTCCCTCACGCACAAGGCCTTTCTTCGCGGCCGACATCTACGGCCCATCAACATTCTTCGGCGAACCGTTGAATAAGTCTCTCATCGACCCAAAGGCTATTTCAGACTTGCATGATTGAGACGCCGCCACGTCCGTCGATGATTCTGCTACCATAATCTAATTTTTGTCGACTTCAGAATTTAAAAAAAAATCAATACAGCAGGTAAAATTAATTTATTTCTAATTTTTAGCACGAAATAGGTATCCAGTCGTACTGAAATCTTCAAGGACTCAAGAATCCTGATAAAGTCATGTATAAAGTCTGGAACAATATGGTGCTCCAACAGGGTATGACTAATAAAAATTTAAAAAAAGAATGAAGTGGTAAGTAAAATCGAATTCATTGCATCCTCAGTAGATCTCCTGATATTCACCAGGAAGGGTACTAGTAACCATACCTGCTAATGGTAGGCCGTCCGTTTTATTTCAGCCTACGCCAACGACTTCACTGGGATGAGCATAAGACTGTGGATGCATCATGGTGGGAGTCTATAGGATAAGCCAAGAAGATTAAGAGGATCTAAGGCCCAGCCTCGCCGGCCTCGTCGACCTCGTCCCAGCACTAGATCCGCCACCAAAGCCACATCCAAGGCGCCGCCCATTTTTTTACTTCCCAAAGATTCCACAATAGCAGAACTCAAAGGATGTCAGAGCTGTATATATATATATATATAATATACATATATATTTTTCAACAAGTATCTTTTCAACCGGACGATATCAATACCACGGAGAAGGAAGATCCAGCATAAGAGAAAGATAACAAAAGCAACCAGGGTGAGATCGATGGATCTCTGTATCTATGATCTAAGGCGACTAAAGACTGCTTGTTCATATACAAGGCTAGGTAAATAAGATCCATGTAATCTAAGCAGAAGAACTGGTGCGTCTGGAAGGAGATGACTGGATGGAAACGTAGATCCTGTAGATGAAATGGGGTACGCGCAGCTAATAAGGGTAGCTCCGAAATGTATCTATCCATCAGTTTTTTGAGGATTTCAATTTTTTTTTTTTTTTCTTTCACAGGGAGGTAATTATTTCCCTTTGTGTTTTCTGGGATGGAGTATGGACGCCATGTGGAGAGGGTGTGAGCGTCAAGAGGCACAGGGGGTGGGGCCCATATCGGGCGCATCCTGGTCTCGCTCTTAAATTAGGAAGAGCAAAATGGTGAAGGGGCCTTTTGTGTATATATTAGTATACGTACATGGGTGTATGTCTCTGTCTCTGTTTGTAGGATGACGTCGATGGTGGTTTGGCCTGGCTAGGGCGATGAGTCCATAAAACAGAGGTAGGTACCCAAGTTCGAAGCGGTGCTGAGCAACATCTGCCGACCGCCATAAGGCGACCAACCACGATCGGTATACAGAAAAGCTTATGGAGAGAGAGAGAGAGAGAGAGAGAGAGAGAGAGAGAGAGAGCGTGTGAGGACCCGAGAGAGGCAACAGAGAAATCCCTCCGGAATGGCGGATCGATCCTGCGGGAAACCAGAGAACTACGTATAACCGTTTAAGGCGCCACTCCCGGCTTCCTGGGAATCGGATGAAAACCATAACGATCCAGGGGATCGATGGTTTTGCACGATCCCGGCTACTCTTGCCAGTGCCATTCAGTTTCTTGGCACAGACTTTATGCCTTTGCCTGAAATTATTATCCTCTACGTGAGGTGATTATACTGGCAGTGCTTACCGGTCCTGTCTTCGTAATAATTTACGACGAATCGGTAAACAGGATCTTGCCGGAGAATCCTGGGAACTCGAATAGTCGATCGGATTAATGAAAGTCATAATGATTTTAAATGGTGTTGTGATAATTGTTGAGAATAATTTTATGTAAAAACTTCTTTTTTTCCTGGGTAGTAAATTTTAAATGGAATTGTTATCGTTGGAAGTTTTCCTTGATAAATTTGTCAGGTCCTTATTCTCTTTTTTTTTATACTTTCAAATTGATCCACTCCCCTTCGTCTGCTCTATCGGACGTGTCTATCGATTATAATTCAGACTGTACCTATGGAATCTTTATAATATTCTTGTATCCCGGCCGATCTTCCCCTACTCCATAGAACACATCTCCCTATGCCATAACGTATTTCTAAACCGGCCGTGGGGACCCATACTGGCTAGTTATTGCTGCAGGAGTAACCGGGGCCCTTTCTAGGCCCAGCCCTAAACCGCTGCCTTCCATAATCGTCCAGCTGACGTGGTCGAAAGATGAACACACGTAGAAATACACGTGTACACGTGAAATCAAGAAATCCACAAAGGCTAGAAAAAGGCAAAAAGAGAAGAGAGAAAAGTACAGAGTGAGTGTTGTCATGAGAAAAAGATAAAAAAAAAAGAAAGCCACTAAAACGTTCGTTTTCAATAGAGCCGACAGAAGAAAGAAAAGGTTCGCGTGACCGTGTAGTCGGCCATTTTGCAAGGCACCTCTCGATAAAATTGCCACGCCAAGTCCCCGGCAGTTCCAGTAGAAAAAGTAATGGGGCCCAACATTCGTGTCGTGTTAGCAGGGGACTGTTGAACATTAATTAAATTCCTTGTGAAAAATGACGTAAATAAAGGCCATCCAAGAGGTCTGAGCAAATACCGCTCAGTATCACGTGATACATATGATCGTTTATACAGTACAGATCAAAGATCGATACTCAAGATCGTATTGATCGTAGTGACAACATAAGGGACTCGAGGCTCGAGGATTTGCACGGTTTTCTATATCGATCTTACGATCTCGCGATCGACAATTGGCTCTTAAACAAACCTGTCAACTTCACTCGACACTGGGACATCAAGATCAAAATTAGATCATTAACATGCTGTCGATCAGACTGTCAATCCTTATTGATCCTCCATGAGACATCGGGAGACATGGCATCAGTCCCAATTCGTATACAATAGAAATGAAGTAGATCAATGATCTAGATCGTGCAACTTGTAGTCTTATGGAGTATCTATTATAGATAATATTTTACTTGATTATCTCAAAGATCATTTATAATGATCTAGCAAATGAAGTAGATCAATGATCTAGATCGTGCAACTTGTAGTCTTACAGAGTATCTATTATAGATATTTCACTTGGTTATCTCAAGGATCATTTATAATGATCTAGCGAATGATCTCAGGACTGCATGCGTATTGTATAAACTCATAAACGCGTATGAGAATCGCAAGCCGAAAGGCCCATTTCTATGGGCAATTTGACTTACGACAGTTTGAAAGCAAGCCGAGTATTCGTAGGCGTGTGTTGAAACGTCGGGACGTCGGACGTCGGGACGGGTTTTGCGTGGGCCTCGGCATATTACATCTGGGGGCCCAGTCCAGAGTTTATGATGGACGAGACAGGTGATTATGCGTGTGGAAACTACCAGGAACACACACGCCTACGCGATACCCTGTGCCAGGTTGAGCCGACATCTACTGGAAAGTTGAAAACTTGAAGGTTTTCGTGTAAGGCCCACGAATGTCTCCTGCGGTGTTTCTTTGGGTCCTCGCGATTTTCACGCTTTCCATCCAGTGAGCGAGGATGGAAATGGGGACGTGTAAATAAACAGAACTTTAAGGGTCCAGGTAACAATTGTTCGATTGGTCATGGATCCTTTCACATTTTGCTCCTTGTATATCCCTCTCAGGTCCCAGATTTCAATTCTAAGATCCTCTTCTGATCCTCTTTCAACTTCCTGTAGAATGAGAACATTAATTTTTTAACTTTTCATTTATACTGTAATCACTCTCTTTTATGACTTATTTAATTATTTTTCTGTACCTTTATAGTCAATGATCTTTCCATTGAACCCTATCTCAAGTCATAACCATAAGATAATATACTATTGGTGGGATCTAAAAATCGATAAATCCTGTCGCTTAAACAACTTGTCAGAAAATTGACGTACGACCCGCCTAACCCCACAGACGTCAGAGTCTTGCGTGTCGAGTAGGATATTTGATTATTCCAATAGAACAGAATTCAATGTATTATTCAAGTACATACGAGGCCCAATTTGTGTCACTTGAATATCGGGCCTTATTGTTGTAACTGGTGAAAAGATTCTTGACAGTCGTGGAATACGGAGTAGGTGTCTCATTAATTAACTGTAGCGAACTGACGGTGACAATCTTCAGTAGCAGAAGACAATAAAAGTCGAAAGGAAAAAGAAAATGGAAAATGTCCGTTTGGCGTGTAAGAACCATAAAACGATAAAACTCTATTTGCCTGTGAATAACGGTGGATGATATATCGATACTTCACATCTACGTGAACGGCCTGTGCAAGTATTTATTTTATTTCACTTCAACGAATCATCCAATCGCTGGGAAATTATCGGGTTCAATAGTGTCAACATCATTATGGCTATCAGGCGTTACGGGTTGTCAATGAGAATACATGATAAAAGCATTCACAGTTGGTATGCTTTCTATTTATGTTGTGTGTTTATATACTGTGCTATAGGAATACTCGATTTGATTTGCTTGATGATAACATTATTGATTTCGGTACTGGTTGGTGAAAGTTTTTATTATTTATGGTTTCTATTAGATTTTTCTTGATTGCTCCTTTTGGACTTTTTTGAATTTTTCGATTGGTTTTTATTTTCACAGATTCCATCCGGACAGCAACACATGGGGTACTGATCATAGGGATCTGTGGGGAGACCGACGTTTCCTGAACATTCGCAAATACTGAAGGGCCTGTAGGATATGTCTTCTTTTGAATTATTTGGACTGTCATTTCTGGAACAACAGGATGATCTTTTTCGTCTTTTCTTCAGATTAAACTCCTTCGAGGATTCTGATTTGATCGAGCATCTAGATTCGGTATTCATTGGTTTTAATGAACTGTCAGATTTTTTGGTTTGCTTTTTTCTACAGCTTTTTAAATTTTGACTTTTTTCCGGGGCTTTGTTCATATCCTTGTTTGTCGAATATGGTTCCATTAATCGTAGGGACTTGTTGGAGCACGAAGACTTCATGGTTTTTGAAAAATATATTTGTATGATTAATTATATATATGTATTTTTTGGATTTAACAAATGTTTACGAACCTCGATTGGTGGTTTTGACTTTTTCAGACAATTATTTTTGGATGCCAGAGAAGATGTACTCTCTTGTTTTATACTCGACACGCAGACTGACATTTCGGTTGCACAGTCTCTTAGGCAACAATTTACTTCGATTTTTGATCTGCTTCTATTTGCGTTTTTGTAAACTTCCTTCATCCTTTTGACAGTCCTATGGGATTTTTTTTTCAAAAACGGTAAAGCATTTTTCTGTATTTTCTTGAGTCCTTGTTTCAGCTTCTCCGTGAACTCGTCCGAAAATGATGGCTTCTTTTCTTTTTTTGATTTTTTCTCTTTAGGCGCTTTCTGCGGTTTACAAATTTCCATCTTCGATCTACAGAAAATTGATTTTTCTAAAATACATATTATCGCAATTTGGATTATGAATTGATAACATACTTTGGTCTTTGGCATCCATTGATTCTTTCATACAAGCTGGAATCTCGTTTTGGAGTTTTGGAACAGTCTGCAGCACAACCACGTCCCCTTGCTATTTTATTTATTGAAGGCTTTTGTATTGGAAAAAATTCGAAAATCTCACACTGTGAAAATTTCTCTTCCTGAATTATCAGAGTATTTACGGATTTTGAAGATTTCGCACATTTTGACATTTTTAAGGACTTTGAACTTCTTTGACTTGTCTCGGATGGTTTTTTTTCTGCGAGACTTCCCGTACTCGGTGCCGCAATTTCAATTTTTATTGAAGTTTTTGAAATTGTCCGCTCCTCCGAAACTAGTTTTTCTTTCGATTTTGATTCTTTCGATTTTTTTGGACAACATTTCATCCAGGATTTCTTTTCCACTGGAATAATTTCGAATTGCGATTCTGGACAAATTACTTGCACAGGCTCAGGACACGTTGCTGATACCAATAAAGGATTAGAACGTTCAGTTTTCTTTACAATTTTTATATTCTTTTCGGATTTCAGTTTTTTCGCATTTTTTAATTCTTTCTCTTTTTGCTTCTTTACCTCTTTTTCCTTTTTCTCCATTTCCCTTTTATTTTTTTTATCCAGTACTTTGTCGTTCAGCATCTTTACCTCGTTTACCTTTCCGTCGCAAGGAACTTCGGCTGTCACTAAATGCATTTGATTCCCATATTTATCATTGCAAGTCTCTTGAAATTTTGTAAATTTACCTTTCCCCCCTTTTTTCGCATTATCCTCCTGAGTCGATTGCACTATTACACAAATTCAACACAATAATACACCACCCTTTACCATAAGACAATACCCATTAACCTAAAACACAAAAATACTCACTATTCCAAAGCCGACATAAATTTTAAACATTCCTTAATCCATTTTTGAAATTTCACGTCATTCACTTTAGAACAAAATAAAGTCTCATTAACCATGATGCAGAAAAAGTCTCCATACCAAAAATTTTGTATAAACGTCTCGAAAATTAGTTAAAATGAAGATGAGATAAAAATTTCCAAGTTTTAAGCTACACTGTCCGACATTTGTCAGTAAAAAAAAATCACATGAACAAATGACAAAATAAGGCAGTGTGAAATTTGAAAAAAAAAACCTTTAACCTCCATAAAAAAAAAAACAATTAACCTTCTCCAAGTGTTTCCGGCTCCACTTATCTCATTTTTTTGGAATAAAGTGGCGTCTTTTTATTTCCAACGCCAAGCACCTGCTCTGCTTAACTTATCTGCGTGGGAAGATGGAAAAGGTATTTAAAAGAATCCCATAAATAAATGTCGCCATTAACGTGCTTGCTACCTTTCCAACGAGGTTTACTACGTCGACTACACTCAGAAATGAAGCTTTCGATCGACTTGAGACGGCTAGGGCTAGGAGGTGGCACCCTGGGAAGAACTCTCCCACGATAAATAAGATAAGTTTTGGATCCCATTTTTATATTTTCACAATTAGTAGGCGGACATCTTGCGATAATAATGACTTTTTCCGCATCAAGTTCCTTGATAGAAAATTGGAACTCATGAAAATAAATATGTAAAAAAATTTAATACTTTTGCACGTACTGAATCTTCGTCCATTTTACGCAATCTCCTCCACTTCCGTCGCAGGGCCTTGAACCACTTTCGAACTTTGAAATTCACCTTTACGAAATCTCACACGATCGCTCGTGCACGTGTATTATCAATTATTTCCTTAGCGCTGTGTACGGTTTTCTGAAATTGTCAAACTGAAATTTCGATATTGAGGTTATAATCATGTTTGACGAAATTTAATAATGGTTTTGGAAATCTTTAAAGGTGTCTTCTCTTCAGATTTTTTATTCCAAAATTTCATTATCACGTACCGATCGTCAGAGAGTACTTGACTGTCGTTATTCTGCGATATTTTATTTTTCGTTGGGATTTTTTCGAAATTCATTGTTCTGTCTGAGTCAAAATGAGTTTTTTGAGTGTAAACCTTAACATATCCTGATATGACAGCTGGCGATGTGTCCTAGCGAGTAGAAGATTTTTTTATGATATTTATATTCACTTAGGAACACTTCTTTTTATTTTTCACTTACGGATTTTGATTTTGAACCCGTTAATATCCCAGACCCTTTTGTTTTTCCAGCATTTTCACTCGTAAATGTTTCTTTCGGCATTACTTCCTCTTCCAAGATCAACTGAGAGGCTGTGCCACTCCAATTTTCAGATAAATCTTTTTTGATTTCTGTACATTATATAAATATTTTCAAAATTACTTAGCTCTACATATTATTTTTAACACGTTGACCGCCACGTCACCCATATATATGGGTTACGTTTAATTTACGCTGGGCGGTCAACGTGTTAAATTTACCAAATTTATCTTCGTCAGACTTGTCTATCGATCCTCTAGCATATTTTTATTTCTCACTTTCAGATCCTGTCAATGAATCGACTCTGCTTAATTTTCTTGATGAAATTTCTGGTTCACTTTTCTCTGTAGACATTTCTTCAGAAATTTCTTTATGTACTGAATCCTGCAGAACAGAAGAATCCTTGCATCCGATTTTGCAGCTGATTTCGGTAGTGCACTTATTCCTGAAAATCATAATTTTTATGAAACTTATGAAAAAGAAATATTTAAAAAAAACTAACTCAAAAGAATAATCCTTCTTCTTGCATGCTTCAACGGAGCCACACGATCCGGATTCCTTAATTAATTCAGAATCCACTGGCAATCCTACACGACATCGAAATTTTTTCGATTCCTGCTGATCTTTATTACCTCCTAATGGCAAATTTTGATTTTCCTTAAAACTTTCCAAAAACTTCATAGTCACTTGCATCCCGTCAAGAAACCCATGAAGATGAGGAAGTTTTTCCTGACAGCAACCAATCCTTCTCGATTCCATAATTTTCGCATAACTGTCAGGATTTTCAAAAAATTTCCTCAATTCTCGAATTTTACATTCTAAGCACTTGAGAGCCTTTCGTGCAGCATCCACATCAGTGATGATCTTATCCGGCGTTTGAGATTGCCCAACGCTAGTGGAACTTCGTCTTTTGCACTAGAAAAATTTTAGAGAATTATATTAAACCGTGTAACAAAAAAATATATTTTTATTCAAAATTTCAGTACCGGATATTTTGTACAGTGATATGGAACATCCACTTCGCTGATGTTGCTCTTCAGTTCATGAATCTTACGAAGAATCTCTCGTATCTGACGTTGCGTGATATCTTGCACCACTTCATCCGTTATAGTCGAGGCGTTTCTGCACCTTCTCTCCGGGTACCTGGTTCTAGTGGCAGGCGTCTGCTGACAGGAATAATTCAAAACTTCACGGGAAGCTGGAATATCGACAGCGCGGATGTCCATTTGTTTCGTTTTCTGATGATGAAGTAGCTGCGTATTGCTGTCTTTGTCATTCCTCAATAAAAGATCCCCATCCTGCTTTTGTAAATTTGCACACAGTCGACGTAGCAGAACAGTACGTTGAACTTCCTGGAGAAGTTCACTCGAATCTATATTCAAAAGTTCTGACGGAACTTCGAAATTCCCTTTAGGTCTCCTCGGTGAACTTGATCTAGCTGAATTTTTTGTTGATACTCGAAATTAATAATTATAATTTTTTAAATTTTTATATTGGTAATCAGTACCTTCGGATTTTCTGCAGAACGATAAATCCGTAGTAGAATTGCTTGATTGCTTCATTTTATTAAAATTAGGTTAGTTTTTTATAAATTTGAAAATTTTACATACACTAAAAACGATATTCTATCTAAGAATGTTATCATTTTATTTTTTTATCTAGATTATCATACATTATACACAATTTTGAGTTTCTTCCATATCAAAATGGTTATGTCACTCAACGTATCGATTCGTAGCCCATTTCAGATCGGATAAGAAACAAATATTTTGAAAATCCAACCCAATAATTTATTCGATGGTACATTTTTTTTTGGACATTTTTGGCGAAGTCCCGACCGACTTTACAGTCCTCACAGGACTAGTATGTCGAGTGACCATTTTTATTTTTAAATCATTACCAGTTTCAAAATCAGTCCTACATCCACCATGAAGTCCATGTGCTCCGTTCCAAATTTGAGATTTCTTAAAAAGAATATGACCATCCATCTCTTCAGAGTCAGCATCCACACAAATATAATCATCACTGTATTCTGGCTTACAGCAAATATATGTAGCCGTATTTTTGAAAAGATTATTCTCCCAAGCAATACGACTTCCTGAAACATAATAAAGAAGTTCAAAAATCTTCAAACAATTTTTTTTAAAATACACATACTTTTCAATAAATTTTCTCCAGTATTCCGCATTATATTTTGGCTTTCACTTTGATCCTTCCACGACCCCATTGGTACCAATTCTCCGACGTGCATACCACTTAATGATTGTCAAACTACCGGACAAGAAATGCCCGGAAAAATTCCAAAAAGTGAAAAAGGACGTGAGTAATATTGCCACAAGGAGTAAAGGGATCAGCCACCTCGCTACGAAGTTGGACAACTTCCAGGACGCTGCAAGATCAAAGGCACGTTAAAAAAAAAGTGGACGTAGCTGCAACGAATCAAAGGCATTCAAAAAGGAAACCTCTACTGCCTTCTTTAATTCATTAATTAAAACGTTCGCTCACACGATGATTTAATGCACTCGTCCAACACGGTCACATCCAGATCCTGATCTGTAGTCCCGGCATCGGCATCCTGTCCGTCTGTCACTCTTCTGGAGATCATCACGTCCGACTTGGAGCGAGCTAAAATCCTGGCGAAATTATTACCAGGTGAAATCTTTCTTTCATGCTGCTTGGCCATTTCTCAGGTACTACTTGCAGTTTTATTTTTGAAAAAGGCTACATGTCTCATTACTGTTAATTTAACGTGGCTTGGGTTATCGGAAAATTGATGATTTTTGACAAGAAAATTAGAAAAAAAAAAAGAAAAATTATAATCACGTCAATCTCGGATCAAGCACTCTGAGTAGGTTCAATGTATTCTTTTTACGAGATCAGAAATAAAAAAATAGAAAAATAGAAAAAATTTATGTCTGTTCAAATTTGAAAAAGTATTAAGTAATCCGGTCAGCCGTGAAATACCCCACTCGTTCATGGTGTCTTTTTCTATAATGTAAACCTAAAAAATGAATCGCTATTAATTTACAAAGAGTCTATGGTATTCATGTGCAAAGGGGATTTTCAAAAAAAACATTTGATCTTCACGAAAAAGCGATCTCACGCATTTTTGAAAATTTTTTACTGAGCCGCAAAAGCACGAGATTCGTATTGTCATTCACGACGAGCAGGACTAACACGATGGTATTCGTACAGTCTGAATCACAATGGAAAATCATGAAAAGTCAACGAGATTGCCGCGGAAAATCGGTCCCTTCATCCATTCAATCCTCGCGCGGTCCATTCACTTGCAAAAGAGCGTATCGAGGCGACTACATCTTCGGTGACGCGTAAAAAAGGTAGAGCCAGAGCTCGTTGTGAAGATACCCTAAAAATTGGTAGGACTACGACTTTGAGTTATTCAAGAGCAAAATAGTCTAGGATCGGTATAAGAATTATATTAAGGTAGTTTCAGATCGAGGATTCATCTCGGGAGATCAAAAATATTTAAAAAATCTTCCGGCAGTCGTCTCACAAAATTTGGACTAATAAAGGAAAAATGGAAATTATGAAAATAACAAAATACGGTATAAACGGATAGAAAATAAATAATCCTGTACGCGTAGACTTTTGCCTCTTGGGACACTCGTATTTTGAAAAAGTCAAAAGGTGCGTAGAAAATTTTCGAAAAACATTTACTTTTCGGCGACTTCGCGCAAGCGACAGATCGTAAATCTTCATTGAATGGATTGTTTGCCAACATGGTGGTATTGCGTGGGATGAAAGGTATCCTATGGTGGTCCATGGGGTTGGCAAGAGGAAAAGACACCGGTCGCGCCGCCGTCAGAATCCATAGAAATCGGCATAAGGCAAAGCCAAACGAAGACCATTTGTCGCGATACGGGAGATCTTCGAGATCTCCTGTAGGGGTGACAGGTACGAGACAGGTAATACACCAAGGGTGCAAGAGTACCCTCTCTCCTCTAAGGGATGACTCGCACCAGGCTAAACTTGGGATTACAAAAAGCGGCGGCCGCAAAGTCAAAATAAAGTAATTGTTGGGCTTTTGTCAAGTTGCCTTTAAGCTTCTTTTCAATACTTGGCTTTAGTCAGCCTATATATTCTGGTACAGTTGATTCTGCATGGATTTTCAAAAAATTCAAAAGATCCCCAAAACCACCCAAAAGTACAAGATTTTACGGGGAGTACATGCATGGCGTGTGAGGTTCATTTTAAAATTACAAAATAGAAGAAAACAGAAAGAGTTCAACTAGTTTATCGTATAAAATTTTATAAATTTAAATTTTCACAATGGATCAAGGATAAAAAGTATGAATATTTTGAAAATCCTTTTACACTTCTCTACCCTAAAATTCCGTACAGCTAAGCGCGTCTTTTTAGTTTCGCCGACGGATATCTACACTCATCTCTCAAGCAAGAGAGCTCTGTTTCCTTCTAAATCCAACAGGTCCCAATACCGCGACGCGTACAGCCGCAAAGAAAAAAGAAGAAGAGAATAAACGAAAAGGACCTCCTATGGCTACCATGAATAGTAGGTGGTAGCCAGATCGATCACCATAAGATTGTCAACGCAGCATCAGTTGAAGACTTCAAATACTAATCGCCTTAACGTAGTCACACGCGGCCACACACCGGCAGCCATCCTGGGTGGGCCCCATAAGACCCCATGGATTCTAACATTATGCAGGACATGAGCATGGCGTTCTGAATAACATAACCGATGACGTCAGAATTCCTAAAAAAAAAAAAGCATAAACAATAAGGAAAAAAAAGTACTTAAAAACCCATAACACCCTCATAACCTCAAAAAATTCATATGCAGAAAAATCAATAAAAATTCTTACCATAAAAAAAGTGTCTTTTACCGCCAAAAACATTTCCAATCGATTTCTCCCGATCTACCCCTAAAGTGTGACATGGAGAAAGAACCAGCCCCATAGCGAGACCACCCTGTGTGTCAGAAGGTGAGCGGTTCGTTTCATCCTGAAGGACATAGATCACCCTGTGTCGCTCTGTTTACCGCAAACGTCCAAACAAGCCCATCTCCCGTCTATTAAGTACCCCCAGCATCAAGAGATAGTAGGGAACCCGGTGCTAGGTATATATATACCTGGACCAGGGATGGTGAGTGAGTGAAGGTAACGTAACAGAGAGCCAACGAATGGTGAGGTTGGGTACCTGTAGTCATTGATGTCACCGCGTCGGGGCGTGCCACAGAGACAGAGAATAATCCTGAAGGATCCTAGAGGGAGTCGCAGTTTTCTATGGGATCTATCGATCCTATCTTGCGACACCGCGACATCATTTCCTTGATCCGCCGCAAGGACCTTTTTCTGGACTCGTCCCCTAAAACACCATAAAAATGTATATATATATAATTCACTGTGTGTATGGTACATCTCATATAAATTTTATTGTATTTTCGTTCTATATTGTTTATTTGGAAATTAATATAGTAATTTTTTCTAAATTTACCTAAGATTGATATATGCTTTATATATTGTGCATTGAATGGGTACTGGTATCTTTGTCTATGGTACCCATTATGCTTCGGGGTCTACTGGGTACTATGTATTCATTACGCCTTACATGCAGGGGCGTGCTCTTAATGATTAGCTGTTTGGTTACGCCCTGGCAACAGCAACCAGGAGATGGAGGAACCACGGCTGGTTACCATCATCGTTAACGAGTTCAGTAAACGACTAATGATAACGAGTAATACAGGAAATCGATTGAAATTTGTCCCATAAGAAATCCAGGATTATTAATCGAAGCTTTTTCAATTCTGATTAATTCTGAATATATAAGGATAAGCAGTGGCAGACATATTTCTTCCTTATATAAAATTTTCAGAGTCGTACAACCCTGAAAAATCGGTTGTAGTAATACAGAGTCTCAAAAGATGGCAGCACAAACAAGAGCCTAAAAATCTTCATGGTTCCTGATGGAAGATCGCAGCGAGAACAAGAGGCTGGGAAAGGAGCAGCTGCTGTTGTATGTCGAGATCATACATCACCTAGGTTGCATTCTTTATTCCCACGCGACATAATACCACAACGGGACCCCTCTTTACTCTACCTCAGCCTCCTCTTCGAAAAACGTCGCCGTAGCGTCATCCCCCTAAGCAAAGAAGGACATTAGCAGTTTTACCAGAAGCGTAGGAATTAATAATGTTCCTTTCAAAAAAAAAAAGAACAGTCTGTTCTTCAAGACAAAGAGTACTTATTTTGAAATAATAAATTAAAACTTCACCCTGAAAGTATCCGAACACTACGTTATCCTCTGGACTAACGTTAAATTCGGGTACTTTAATAACGTAGTCATTACTATTCAGACTAACCTATAAAACTAAATTGTTTTAGGAAAAAAAAGCCCACCTAGTGGTCATCAATAACAAGATAAAAATTAGACCCAAAAGAAGACGAGTAAAATATCCTTCTTCAAAGAGTCGTTTGCCCTGCCGAAATAATGGCGCCCGTTTGTCAAAACACGTCAAAACATCATCCTGGGGTCTTCGAAATTTCCAGCGGGTCGGTCACGCCCCGCGATGCATCACCTCAGGGTGGTAGGTAACTATCGTCGTTGGCCCAGGTAGTAGCTCCAGCGCGAATTCCAACGTTTACGTGTGCCGAGTCACGGCAAGAACATCATTCTCGTTATTCCGACGACCAAGGTGGAAAATGGAAACTTGGTTTAACATCTTAGCCGTTCCGGCCACTATGGCTGCCATGGCCGTCCCGGTCTGCCATGTCAAGAACCGCGAATCGTTTGTCACGAAAGAAAATGGTCGAGACTGCCGGACCACGTAGTGCTTTATCTTTATTAGCGTTTCGCATGTCGTGGCAAATATTTCCGTCTTATCTGCCGATTAGGAGAATGTTGGTAGGTGACAGTGATCGTGTACCGTAATGCTTCGGTAGTAATGGCGTTTGGTCACGTGATCCTAGCAGACGAGACAATGACGATGACGTAAGTAATAAAGGACCTCAAGAAGAAGAAACAAATAGTACAGAGATCAGAATACAGATTTAAAAAGAAAAAGAAATAAAATTGACAATTAGATAAGTCATAAAAATCAAAAGTGAGGTTACCCTCTGATATTTGCCCTCTGTTGACCTCATGCTGAAGGGATGAGCTTGTAGGTTAAAAAGGGTTGTGTCGAGTAGGTTTGAAAAGTGCGAAGAATCTGAAGTAAAGCAATCGATACACTAACGAGCCCAACAGTGTAACCTTTTTCTTCTTCCTCTTCTTCTTCTTTGCTAGACCGAAGTCTCCTATGGCTACGCCAAGGGATAATTCGCACGGCACGGACTTTTATTATCGTCCGGACGCCGGTCGCCGCGAAACCAGTTGGCGTCTGGGTAACAGGCGTAATCGACCAGCTCGCAATTAGCCGAGGTGGAGGTGCGTTAAAGGGTTTTCAACATGGAGTCTGGTAATGGTGTTCTCGGTGGTTGAAACTGGGATGATTTGTTGCTTCCGTGCGAAGCAGACATTTTCGCCATGAGCCAGTGAAACCATCACGTATCAACTTAGTAGCCACTTTATTCCTGTAATATATAGAGATTCAAAATCAGCCATATATATGATATATTATATATATATATACCACCATATTAGAACATCTGCGCTCGTTACGTTAAACGTGTCGTTACATCACAATACCCATGATAAATTATTCCTCAATGGGGATACAACGCACAAGAATAAACGCAATGATGGCAACAGACACTGTCCTCCCTAAACGGTGAGTCCATACAGTACAAACATGGCGTACAGCAGTGATTCTGATTTTCTTGTCCCACCACAATACTCAATTATCCCCGGGGTGGGTTTCGTACATCTGCCAGGATGAACCCCAGGACGGTGAAACTTGTTTCCCCATTAACGCTAGAGATATCGCTTCATGAACACATTATAGTCCCCATGAGGACGAGGACGACGACCGAGAGTGGTAAACGCCTACAGCGAATATTTAATTCTGCAAGAGATACGTATAAGGATTTTTAAATTTACCTGCCGATCGGGTACGCCTTCCTCAGGTTGATCATTCCTGATTGATACACCGTGTAGTGAAGCTGCATAGTGTTGATACCATAACAAACTCAATACACAGAGCTGTTGTAAAAGCTTCATTTAGTAAAGCATCCAAGAAGGTAGCGAAGGGTATCCTCAAGGCGGTCGGGTAAGGCAGGTACGTTCCATCCAGGTGATCAGATTTGATGGACCGATCGTTATAGGTTATAATTACCTGGAGCTAAACCAGTCCCTATACGTAGCCCAGGGCTACAGTCATGTTCTCCATCGTATTCCTGCTCCACCTTTTCTCCCATCCTCTTTTTACCGGTCGCCCCATACACTGGAAACATGGCCGCATGCTTTCTCGCATGAGGCAAACAATGGCGGATACAAGAAGCAGGCTGTTTTATGTTTACTGGAGTACCGATATTATATGTACCTTTTTTTTATTCATCCTCCACACTCTGCTGTCACGATAATCAAACAGAGATTTGTAGCCCTGAAAAAATTTTTGGACAAATTACAAACGAAAAGAATGACTATGGTCGACGTTCTATGGTGCTACTTGAGTCGTCACGTAATAAGGTAATGATAGGTATACCTTTTGTTCTGGTGTGCGTATTACTCGATGATAAAATCGTTATTAATACTTATCTCTGTCACGCGAGAGACAAATATATCTGGGTAATTTAGATTTGGATCTTGCGAGCTGCACGTGAACGGGCATGATTTAATTTTTCCCGCAGTGCCCCGTGTATGGTTATATGGGTATCTCGATCGCCATTACTGCCCCATTAACATCACACCACAGCGACAAATATACCTTGAACTTGGACAGCCATTAGTGGTGGCCATTGCACTGGATACACCTTTGAAGAAATAACTCTGGATTAAAATATAAAATAAAAAATGGAGAATGGGGAAAAGAAAAGAGGGTAGAAGTAAAGCAGCATGCTTTATGCTCGGGCACACTGGGTAACATATGTGAAGAAAGGCCCTGAATATGGGCTAATTTGCAAATCTAACCCGCATCAAGGAACACCATGGTACCCCATAGAATACAGAAAGAACCCCTGATCTGGGGTACCTACCATATAGGCAGGACCATTCGAGTATGAGAATGAAGGAGCCAAACGGCTGTCTAGAAGGCGACCAATCCCCATGCGTTTCTCAAGCTCTATTAATCCCATGGGATTTGCCATGGGGTTTTTGCCTTCGTGATCCAGCGGTGGGGTGGCGCTGCGGTCGAGTCTGCGGTTTGATTTATCTCGCGCCGCTTCACACGCAACCGCGATAACTCAGCGGCCCTTAATTTCTATTTTTCTGCACACACACACACACACCCCATCAGAGACCCTAAGTGCATGGTAGACAGTGCACGGTAACGCGAATCATACGTGCTTGGATAGACATAGCAAAAAAAAATTTCCCACGTGAGACTATTATAGGGATGAAAATAATTCGAAGGAGATATACAAGGGAAGATCGTGGACCACTGTGTTATAAATCCCATAGGAGAACTTTGACGAAAGATTCTTGTGGATTATTTATCTGGTAGCTGTTCAGGTGGGCGTACAAGCATTGCGAGCAGTGTCGGGGTATGAATATGAGAATAAGAGAGGGAGAGTCTGTGATATATTGAGAGACTAAAAGGGAGAGTGAGAACTCGCAAATGACGGCGCGATGACGCCGCATGCTGTCCATTGCTAAGAGAAATGGATAACGAGAAGCAGCCATTGGAGTATATCGCTTATGTCATGGGGATATTGATTATGATAGTGGTCACGATCAATCAAAAATCAGAAGCAGGAGAAACTCCTCACTTCCTTCCTTAAGATATTTTCTGGCAGTGCTAATACGAAATTTATTTAGATAATGAACGAAGTGGAATATACCCAGATGACTGTGTATATACTTTTATTTGGTTAGTTCTATGATACTGATGGTGAGTATAGAGAATCCTAGAGTATAGAGTAATCCTATAACACCCTAGGGAGAAGACTCAGAGGCTAATAGGAGAGATCTTTCGTAGGGGGTGGAGCCTCGAGTTACAGGGTGTGGCCCCCGAAGAACTCGAAGGGTAGTTAGTGCCAGGAGGAAGTAGAAGAGGGGGAGTGAAAATGATGTAGGTTCTTCGTATAGCAGGGTGAGAATCGGCCGGATAAAGGGGGTCGGTTTTCAATATGAACCAGCTGGCGCCTCGCACGCGGATCATCCTCGATACTGATATTCCTTCTGGTTGGAGAGCGCCTTCGCCATCTACTTTTTCCATCCCTTGTCAGATTGAAAAGAACAAAGAAAACCCTTTAGCCATTTCCACTTCGTGATGTTATTGCTATGGCTTACGAAATCTACTCTACATCATTTACAACTTCTGACAATTACCATTGCTGTATGAAAATAATAATAGTCTACTCAATACATAACTTGCTTTATAGAAATGATCTTAACACTTAGTCAACCGCGTGCGTTAGAGCGAACTGTACGTTCTACCCATTCGGATAACTAAGTGTTAAAGGCGAATACGCCATATTCGTATATGTATTCGTATAAACTAATACCTTAAGAACTGTCCGTATAGTGTATCTAGAATATTTTCTTAGGACCGTGAGGATTCCAAGACAATTAGCCATTGCCAGCTGGCAGTCGGATACCAACTGCGACTGAATACGGGGATGCGCGTGTCCTGGCAACAGGACAATGTAAGAAGCCCGCCGAGTTAAAAGCGACAATGAAAAGGCGCATCTACAAGCAAAAACATGACTACCGCCCACTTCAGCCTTGTAACCAGCATCCTCGAGATCCAAAAGCGGCTCCATCTTCCCTTTCTTATTCTCCCTTTCCGCTTACAATCTAGAACCATAATAACCACCGGGGTATTATTGTAAAAGTCGATGCTAGTCGCTCAGAAACCGAGCGACCAACCACAATGAAAGCCAAACGTACCCAACAATACATCAGATTTGTTAGAGACATACCAACAGGACACAACCGGCGACAATGAATGTGACACAATGCCAACACGTGTCACGTTTACGCCATTTCCCTCCGTCCTAAATTCCCGTGAACGTTACTCGTCCAAAAACGACTGCTGCGACGTCCGTCCCGCGAGAGCGTCGGTACAATCGTCAAACGTCGAAAGAGCACAATGGCGTCCACCAGCAATACCGACCGAAGGCCTTAAGCACCTGGCAGTTGTATTTAAAATAATCGAGTGTTCTTTCATAACCATAAATCGAAACGATCTACTGTGTCCGTACGTATCTTAAAACATAATTACGTAAAGATACGTTACCTACGCTACTTAAAATCTAACCTCTAAAATGTCAATAGATCCTGCTACGACCGTGTTTTACTTTATCAGAATACTTGAAGCATGAGGCCACCACAAGTGCATACCGATCCACTATGTAACCATGGAAGCAATACGAAACTACAGTTTGTGTAGCCAAGAGGAGAGAAGAGGTTATAATTTACACGGAGAAAGGGCGAGTAGCGACAGCATTAGTAGCTAAGTGGGTCCTACGTTATCCTATCCCCGTGTGTTATGCTGGTACCTCGCAAGCAAACGGAGCCTCCAGGCGATTCCTATCTGCCGCTGCCACCCGACACACAGAACACTGAGAACCACCCAGATTACGATCTCTCGCCGAGCTACGAACGCGCCTTAACCCATGTATCTGCGCTCTGGCACATTACGCACGCCACCGTCAAACGCAAGCGGGACATTACCATTTTATGGGAATAGTCCAAAGTGGACGAACTTCTCTCTGCCACTAGGACCTTCATAACAATCATCCTGACTGGTAAATAATTTAATGATGAGTCACAGTTTTGGATTTTCATTTTAAATCAATTTTTTAATCGGCATTATATGCAGATGCGATACCAACATGCATTTTGAGGTTAGATGTCACCGCATACCTGCTGTAATAATCTAATGTTTAATGGAGGCGTGAAAAAAATGTTAAATTGAGTTTTTATTATTATGAATATACGGATTTGTCTTGATTATTTTTTTTTTTTTGTTAGATGGGAACGGTAGACCTTACCTATGTGCTATGAGAAATATGGCTTCTCTTACCTTACCAGTCTACTCGAATTAATTAGGCCGGGAATGGCTGCGCGACGACCAAGCCACCATTTTATCTTGAATTCCTGCGGGATCTGGTGCCGCTGCTTCCCGGAGAGGAGCAGCTAGTCGTAAAGCAGATAAGTTGCCGCCTACCGACGAGGATTCTCTATATAGTAACACTACCGAAACGGCTTCAGGACTTTGTGCGGCAGCTGCGACGACCGTTGCGGGCTGATATGGCCGAAAGTTAGTCAGGATGTTAGGACGACAGGAAAGGATAAATCCTGATAGATTGGATCGTGATCTTGAGTTTCCGTCGACGATCAAGAAAAATTCATTGACGACGATTCTTTTTAATGGAAATCTCTTGTAGTTCTCAGGACGCAGGTTTATATTAGTTTTCGGTATTCGTAACTGCAAGGACAATGTATATAGATATACATACGATACAGTAAGTTTACTTGACACAATATAAGAACCAGACATAATACAAATAATTTGAAATTAAAAAGAATTGTGAATTCATATGGCAGGTATATTATTTACGACTTGACGCAGCAATCTGAAGAATTTTATGACGTGCAATGAGTATCAGAGAACTGAACCTGATTATGGAACCACTGGTCTGCCATATTGGAGAACGTGCGGCTCGCCTAATTGGAACACTCGTGAGGGTCTACGACGCAACGCGAATTCCACGACGTAATTACCGGATAATTACGAGCTCTTGCTGAAGCCTTTGGCAATGTAATACAAGCATATCAAGTTTGGCCCGTGACAACCCCATGTCTTCTATTATGGAGTTCATCGACTAACCGTATAACTTGAACCACGTGATAGCTGGTTGAACGTTCCGGATGATTTCCTGATAAAAAATGAGGGGCAATTTGTCCGGCGAAGGCTGAGCATAATAATGCAATTACACTTTATATGCGACCGACGTAATCCCATTAGCAGGCAATATTTTAATCTTAAATTGGAGTTGATCATCTTGTAATTCAGAATGAGCTAAAGACGCTCCTGAATTTCATTTTTTTAATATTTCATATTTCACTCTTGCCTCAAGCTCTCTCAAGGTGTTGATCGTCATGAGATCTCATACTAGGATATAATTATTCTGCTTCATCAAATGGATCCTCGGAAAAAAAGGTATTCGAATTCTCTTTGGTGGACTCAATTGAATCATCCTGAAAGACGTTGAGTTTGCATGGTTAACGAAAACGTCTTGTGGACTTATTTCGGTAAGCTCGGCAGGGCGTGACGAGATGGTAAGGAAATAAAAAAATGATTGTAGGTACCCACGAACACCACTCAATTCAGATAATGGAATGACTTGATCGTACCACCACTACACTACTATCACCATCACAATCAAGATCCATCCCAGCATCACTGGCATCCACGAGCCTGACTCTCCTCGCATACTACACAGCATCCTCAAGGTCTTCACTCTGTGGAATAAATAGGCGGTCCAGGGTGCGTCATCGAATCCCAACCATCTAACAGTATATCGATTCACTTGAAACACTTGGGATATTGTCAAGTCAAAAGTATACCACTACAGTAATCTTATTCAAAATGATTGTCAGCCATCTGCACTGAGTTATCGTCCTGGACCACGATGTGCTCTTTCATACTCTTTGACTATTGAAGCATGAAATATATTGAAAACACAGCAAGTGAAGATTTAGACTTTAGTTCTTTCGTCTTCTATATCACAAGGAAATGGTGACTTTATAGCAGACAGTGAAACCGACATGGAGGATTAGATAAAAGACCTGAATAAACCCTGGACTGTCTGAACTCCATCCAAGACAAGACATCCGACAGGCTACTCGCAAGCCGTATCCATGGCAAAAAGAAGAAGCAGAAGAAAACGGCATCATCATAACAAACAAGAGTGTGAGGAAAGAGAAAGGCGGTACGAGAAGAGTCTGGATGTTCCTGAGGGACACCCTGGAACCTGATGGCTACGTTACAAGGAACGACAACGACTAGGTAGTAAAAGAGTAAATCTTTCTTTCTCTCTCTCATTGTATAATGTATCGTATACTGTAGGAGAGACAGCGGAATGGACCCGATGAGGATGCTGCGGATGAAGTAAAAGTTACACACAGGATCCAAGTGTGGAGTATGGTGCTGAGAGAGGAGAGTTTTAAAAAGCGCGGCGTGGCGATGGCGGACGGCTCGATCTAACCCGACTTAACTACATAACTACATCTTTCTTTTACGTTCCTCGAGGGGCCCTCGGGCCCCTTCTATCTTTCCTTTTCTTCTATACTCCTGCTGCCTCTCGTCCTTCTTCTACTTCTATAGGTCTCCTTCTCCCTCTTCTTCTTCTTCTTCTTCTTCTTCCTTACTCCCCATTTTGTCTCCCTCTTTCCCCACTTACTCTTCTATCCACTTTTCTCTCTTTCATTCCAACCATCTTTCTCTAACACTGCAGGCTGACTGGCTGACTGGCTTTCCGTTATAGCGATCCGCCAGAACCGCGCCGCTAGCGGCATGGAAAAAAGGCGGCCCTAAAAGAACTTCATATTTTTTATGCTCTGACAGCGACTTGGGTGGTCCAAAATGGCCGCCAATGATATAATATAGTGCTCTACCCAAGAGCCGAACGTCGCGAGCTACGAAGAGGCTCACGTGCGTGTACACGTATTACTCGTTCTCCTGGGGTATGTAATTATTCTGGTCTTTCTTTTAGATACTTTTATACCAACCTAACCTTACCTTATACTCACTGCATTAGAACCCAACTACTTCGTCAACTGAAAACAATTCCTCCACTGACCATTACAACCAGGTACTTCGTGACACGAGATAATTAAGGACAGTGGCAGACAATTTCCTCAAATTATTTGGAATTTTTTCTCCAACACTAGTTTCAATGTCTTATCGTTCTAATCCACAATGGCTACTGTATAAGATTATCTTTGGGTAAGTATCCCTTGTGTAATATAAATTTAATTATAATTATCCATGGACTTTCATTTCCATTACAGTCAGTATAATCAAGGCGACTAATTCCTCCCGTACCGATGAGCTAATTGCAGGACGCTTTATGCTTTATTGTAAGCATATAGGAATGGCCGCTGGCGACCACCATTAATAGGAGTGAACATATTAATCTGCGATCTGCATACCGCGTGCTCCTTAATGAGAGAAAACGAAACTACCATCGTACTTATGAACGTCTCTATAGCTACGTCATTAGTCATGTCAAGAGACCAGACCTGATGCCTGTCTGTTCAATAAGAATTATCGAATAGCAACGTCCGGTTATCAATTCCCATGATGATCGAATAAGGTAACGACTTCCCATTAGAGATGCTTTCAATGTAAGTTATAACTGAAAATAATGATTTCACATAATTATTCCTTTCTAGGTGATTTTAATAGATTGGAGATTCGACATGACCGACAAGTCTACAGTGATTAGCTGGTATTAGAATATTGATAGGTGATAAATGTACCGGAGAAGTAGGTAGGACGATAATGAGATGCTCATTAATAATACGGTTATTAATGCATGACGCTTTGAATTAATTACTCGCAGCGTGCGTCGTTTAATGTGGGTGGGTATATTAATATTCTACACGTGTATGCAATGAGCTAAAAGGAAATCGATATTACAGATGAGTATCTTGAGAGTATGACTTTTCATATGGAGGCGTCGGGGACGTCATGGCGTCCTTACAATACGATCCGGATGGCGTGAACGCCGTAGCGAATTGCAAGCTGTACTTTCGCATTTCGTCACAGGTACAATGCCAAAGGCCAATGTCCATCCATTCAGGTACGTCATTCGGGTAATCCTAATTATCCTGAAGATAGCCGAGACGAGGACGAGCAGGTAGAGCAAGTAATTATCTTCGTTCCGGGAAAGTCAAAAGAGAAGCGGCTAACTTCAATATTGTGACGTCGCGTTAGTTCCAGCCGCGAAGGATGTTACGGAAGGTAGGAAACTTTAAAGGAATTTGACCAACTGCAAGGATCCTTCCTCTTCTTCTTTTTCTTCTTGTTCTTCAGCAACCTCGGCTGGATAATGACAGAGCGCTGCTACCGATCGTTTCTGAAGGAGAAATCTGCAGCTCGTGCTGTCGGTCCGAACTTCTTTGAAAATGGAGTGAAGAGGGCTGCGTCGAGGAATATGAAGAAGAAAAATAAAAGTGGGTTGCCCTGAAAAAAAGAGTAAGGCAGATAGAAAAGAGACTGAATGATTCGAGCAACCATTGGCAAGACTGCCATTTACAATTGTTTTGCTAATTTTCGAACACTTCTTCCCAGTTTTACGATTTGGCCCGTAATATGTAGTCGTCCAAGAATCCTGGTATATGGAAACCAATTCCAGTTGGGTAAAGGGCAATCGTTAACCAACGTTTACGGAATTCTAAACCCTGAGCAAAAATGACGTAGCATACATTACCCGTTGGTAATAATAAACCTGACTGTAAGTCTCTAAAGTGAGTCTATGAAGTCTCTAATAATTCATAAAAATTAGTTCAATGATTATACTATTAAGATACGTAAGACGACCATGCACATTGTATAGAATGATTTTAAAAGAGACTGTAAATTTTGCAGGTGAAGCCCCAGGCTTTTCTTAAGTAGCCTAAACGACGGAAATCGTTCCTCTCGTATCCACCATCTTCATCAAGTTAATACACTGCAGATAAGAGAACATTTTCGACACCCGAGATCTTATATCTTCATGTAAGGGTACGATCCTCTGTGTATAATTTTGTCATTACCCCCACTTTTGCCAGGCTGCTGCCACCCCAGGCTTCGATGATGATGATTCCGATGATGATAGTTCGCTCGTTATTACGCTTCGGACGGCCAAAGACGTTCTCTTCGTGTTTAGAGCTGGAAGCGATTGGCCGACGCCATTACTCACACCGTTTGCGCCTGCCACATGGCTCCGACGTCTTTTCTCTTCTTTCAATTCTCTTCATCTTCTTTTACTCCTTACATCTTATCCTTCAGCATCCACTGCTATCTTTGCAGCCCATCCCCTCTTCGTCTATCATATATTCTTATCCTTCTTCTTCTCCTCCTCCTCTCCCTCTCTCTCTTTCAACCAGCAAATCTGACGACTGTATAGAACGGCGCTCATCTTCAAGACTATTTTATTCGGTGCCCCATTCAATTATCCTAAGAGCGTTCAGCAAATTACTTTTATACCTTGAAACAGCAGCCAGGCGCAATCGTTTTCCAATGCTAAGAACTTTCGACCTATCTATAACCGCGAAATAGCTTTGATAGAACCTTCTTATGTACTACACTGATATAACAACTTGATTGGAATAATCTCTTGACCTATGACACTGAAAGGCTTTGATCTTTACCGTCTATCACTTGTATACACCTAGGACAATGATCGTTGTGGGAGAAAAAATATACGTAGAACGGATCTTAAGGTAAAATTAACTTCCATATACCATGAGGATGTAGAAGGAATGTGCAATGAAATTATCCAGAGCGGAAATCATTAATAAAGTCCAAGATCCACCTTCGCACTTAAGAATTTCAACTGTGACCTTTATCATTTTTTTTCTTTCTTTTTTTACCTATATCACTTAACGTTAACTCCAGTTTTCCACGTTACCCCATTTGTGTATACATTTATTATATCCTGAAGTAATAGGAACGTCACTTGCCACATTGCAACATGAAATATTCCTTCCTAAATTTTCCGGAAATTTCATGTTTACTTCGTTTCGCAATGTAATTACTAATTATACCAACCGAGAACCATCCCCTGTCTAATCGACTAATTACACGCTCATTGGACGACGTCTTTGGCTAATATTTCTCAGAAAGCGTCGATTCTTATGCGATGGCGTGCCAAGAATGATTCCCATAAACAGGAAGTGCTTTGGCTTTTACATTAGTTTCAGTTTAGATTTACTACTCATGTAATACGTACGATTCTTTTACTCTTACTAGCAGCCAGTCCGACGTTTGTAAAGCATGACATGACATGACACCCGTTTGTACATCCACTTATGAAGATGTCCCCGACGAATGGTGAGTCGAGAACGTGCGAAGCATTTACGAACGTAATGGGCCCGTTTCCGTTTATTGTGAGCCCAGGCGGGACCATAAGCGGCGTCTGGTGTGGGACGCGTCAGAGTCAGGTGAGTATAATCGAATTTATTTAAATATTGTTTTTGCATTTTTTTTCCTGCGTAAAGTTGATTTGGACAGGAGTGGGTTAGTGGCTGTGTCGTTGAAAAAAAAGAAAGGTTGGGTTCGCCTGATACCATTCTTCGCGGTTATTGCCTGGTGAACTGCCGGCGTCTACTTTTCTTGGCAATAACGTTACGTTAAGAACCCGACCACGTGTCGCGGATAGTGTCATATGAGACCGAAATCTTCAAATATTAGTGGGAATCGTGTGACCACGATTTCACCCCTGAATGCCACGTAATATCGTGCCTTTTTTTTCTCCACTTCGAGCGACATCTGCTGCAAATGGCTGCGAAAAGTTTACGGATGACAGACAGTTGCTGTAGGGCGACCAACTATTTTTGGTGCATTGGTGGAATATCATATTTTCATTTTAATACGGGAGTATATGATTGGGTATTGTTATGTGTTTTAATGATGTAAAAATAATTTTTGGTAAAAATGTTGCTCGATCTTAGGACAGTGTACTGCTGATTAATTTATTAGATACTGGGAAAATCACTATCGCCCGTTTTATTCGACACGGTTCAATGCATAATTTAACTGTGCTATTGGCCAATTAGATACTTGTATTTTTAAGATAAGCGTAATTTATGTATTAAACTGCGCTGAAGGAAACGGGCCTATATGAGGGAAAATGTATGAACGAAGAAATTTTTACAAAGCGGTATAGTGCTGCTATCTTGCATGGAGTTTATGAAATAGCTTTCAATTATTCAAGGTAGTAAATCTATTTTATCGACGACTGTAATGAAAGATCTCTGTACAATGAAACTGTTTTACCGACTACACTTCGTGTAGAGTGATTGACTGAAGATACCCCCCTAGTCTCTAAGTGATCTTGTGTCGACGATAAAGTTAGTGAACTGTAATTTTCGTAGTCTTTAAAATCCCCCAAAAAATACTTACGTGTAAAAAACTACGCCAAGTGCTGTGTATTCCTCTAATAAAAAGTATTGATATCAGATTATGGAGGCCAAGTACATAAGTCACTACATGTTTGCCTATTATATGATTTAGCACTGGCCCATCATTTTAATTGTATTTTCAAAATCTCTTATAACGTTTTCACTACTCTTTTACATTACTACTGCTTCCCGTAGTTGATTATGATTTAATGGTCATTCAATAATTAATAAAACTGTCGATAATTCCTTATCGAGTACTACTTGACGGGTCCGTGCATTTCTTGATATGGATTTGCGCTTATTATGCCAGTCATTAAATTCAAAACCAATGTCAACTTTCTATATAGAGCTTATTAACAATAACTCGTAAAAAAAATCATGGTAAGAGCTTAATAACAAACATATAGTTTTAGGATACTATTAGTACGTTCAAAGTAAGTACTTTGGAATGCCTGGCACGGACCCGCCAAGTAGTACTCGATAAGGAATTATCTACAGTTTTATTAATTATTAAATGACCATTAAATCATAATCAACTACGGGAAGCAGTAGTAATAGTACGTTGAAAGTAAGTACTTTGGAATTCCTGGCACGGACCCGCCAAGTAGTACTCGATAAGGAATTATTGAC